GTTCATCCAGCAGAAACTCCCCTTGCATGAAAGTTTCAAGATCATGAAGTGACTTGTTTATTCTGTGATCTGTGACCCGGTTCTGTGGAAAATTATATGTTCTTATTTTCTCTGACCTTCCTTTAGTTCCAACCTATATAAAAAGATATGAGATACAGTTAGATTCAGGGCAACTAAACCTATAAATTTAACTTACCTGGAGATTAAGCTCTTGATTTATAATTTGAAACACAATGTAAGAACCAAGTTTTAAACATTTTGAATCCTCAAATAACATAGGAACATAACAAAAAAAAAGGAATACTGGCTTTAAAGGCCGACAAATTTGTAGCTGATCTTCTCTCTGCCATTTCAGTGCTCTATGACTTCAGGCATTTATTTCAACTTTAGTTTCCCTATCCATAAAATACAAACAAGTAATAGCTACTACACCATGATGATGTAAACATACAGCCTAGCACAGAGATGGTATTCAAATGGTAGCTAAATATATACATATATATATGTAAAATCTCTGTGAATTAATCTGATCATTTTCAGTGATGACAGTGATAAATTCCCATAAATTAATAAAGGGCTGTGTAATTATAAAATTAAATACCAAACAGGAAGAAAGTAGTTCAGTTTGCTTTCCAACTTTCTTCCATAATTTTCAAAGGATTCAAAAATGGGAATTCCATATATCCTTTTTTAGAACTTTGATTAAAAGTCTGAGAAAAGGGGGCGCTGGGTGGCTCAGTCGTTAGGCGTCTGCCTCCGGCTCAGGTCATGGTCCCAGGGTCCTCAGATCGAGCCCCGCATCGAGCTCCCTGCTTGGTGGGAGGCCTGCTTCTCCCTCTCCCACTCCCCCTGCTTGTGTTCCCTCTCTCGCTGTGTCTCTCTCTCTCAAATAAATAAAATCTTTAAAAAAAAATAATAAAAGTCTGAGAAAAGCCCTTGAATATAGAAACCAGGGTAGGGATTTAAAATTACTATAAAACAAAGATAACCCTAGGTTGAGCTACTTGAATTCTTTCCTTATTTTTTTTTTTTTTTTTAAGATTTTATTTATTTATTTGACAGAGAGAGACACAGCGAGAGAGGGAACACAAGCAGGGGGAGTGGGAGAGGGAGAAGCAGGCTTCCCGCTGAGCAGGGAGCCCGATGCGGGGCTCGATCCCGGGACCCTGGGACCATGACCTGAGCCGAAGGCAGACGCTTAACCGAGTGAGCCACCCAGGCGCCCCTCTTTCCTTATTTTAACAAATACATTGGAATAACTTTAACATGTATAAAAACTGGGTTATCTAAAAATACTTTTATCCTTCAGAGCATCTTTTAAATACAGTTTTACCTGAATCTTTCTAGCACTGTATCTTTTACTTGTTTCTTCTTCCAGATACATGCTGTACAGTTTTGCACGTAGCTTCTTCATAGCCATCTCTCTGTTTTTCAGTTGAGATCTCTCTTGTTGGCATTCAGAAACAACACCTGAATAGTGTTATGAGAATTATTAAAGAGTTTTAATAGGAAAAATCTTCATTTATTATCAAGGAATACTCTTTTTCCTTCTTTTTCTTCTACCCTTATAAGGAGAAAAAACAGAACTCTAATAAAAAAGGAAGACTATTAACAAATGACTTTTATAGGGTTCTTAGAAAACTGAAAATATATTCATATTGGAGGCAGACATACTGAACAATAAGCACTAAGCATTTAATATGGATTGTTTTCCCATACCCTTAGCTAGCCACCATAATTTTTTTAAAGTAATAATTACTCATCACTGAACAAAAATAAAGCTAATCCTACTACTAGAGATAGTCACTATTCACATTTTTATGAGGATTTTCATCCATTTTTTTCCTATTCCTGTTTACATACTATGTATTACATGGACATCATAAAGTTTAACTCGAGGATTTCCTCATATTTTAAAAAACAAAAACCTATCAGTCTGCTCCTATAAACCACTGCTGATCCATGGGAATTATGCCTATTTGAGACTGGTCACAGCAAGAGATTCCTGTATTCTTTCTAGGTAACAGAGGTTTGCTATCTGCATGCTTTACCACATGTAAATCTCTGCAGTAATGACTGTAAAGCACATTTAGTGCTCCCTGATAGCAGACAGAAGACTTAAGAAATAGTTAGATATAGCTCCACTGCCTATCTACAGTCAGAACTGCTGGAGGTTTGTGGGTGGACTTCATGGAGAAGCAGGCCTAGAAGTTAAGTACAGAATTTTGCAGGTGAGCATGTTTCTAGGTAGCGAGTCCAAACTTTCATTTTCTCAAAGGAGTCTATGTCTCCTCCCTTCAAAGAAGGCTAAGAAATAGTGATTTAGAGCACTTTCTGATAAAGAAGAACCTATGATAATGACTTCATTCTGAGGATTTTCTTTAATTTATTTATTTTATTAAATTTTAAAAAATTTTTAAAAAGATTTTATTTGCCAGAGAGAGAGGGAGAGTACAAGCCACCTAGGTGCCCCTATATTTTTTTATTTTAGGTAGGCTCCACACCAATGTGGGGCTTGAACTCACAGCTCTGAGATCAAAAGTCACATGTTGTACCTGACTAAGCCAGCCAGGTGCCCCGGATTTTCTTTTAATAGTGATATTTACTAAGTATAAGCTTCAGGAAGCTACCTGGAAGCACTCTCCACACCTTTTCTTTATGGTCACCAGTATGGAAATTCTCTGGGCTTAGATCCCTCCGTCTTCCTGGCTTTGCAATTATCCTGCAGAGTTTCATCTAAGGATTCTAAATGAAGTATTTAATAATAATATATACTATAATAATAGTATATATTCTGGTAATTAAGGATCTATTACAGTGGAGAATTAGTCAAGTTATTCAGAATTTGATTTCTTTCTTCAAAGTTTCATGCTGAAGGGATAAGTACATACCTGTTGGAAGATGAACTATCCGGACAGCACTGTCCGTGGTATTTACATGCTGTCCTCCAGCTCCACTGGCTCGCTTAGTATCAATTCGCAAATCTTTTGGGTTAATCACCAGATTAATCTATACACAAGAGGAAATACTGGGACTTAAAAATATCACATGTATATGAACTGTTCAAAGGCAAGAACTACCCATTTATAAATATAAATACATGTCATGTATAGAATTAATAGAAGATTAAGAAGGTTTTAATTTTAAGAACATAAAGTAGTTGGAATACCATTTTTAAAACGTCTATTTTTTAGAAGAGTGGTGGATCAAAATATAATACAAAACAAAAACAAGCCCTCCAAATCCTCAAAAACTAGACTTCTCTGTAAAATTACCCTCTCCTTACCACATGAACAGAAGAACTTAGTTAATATTAGAAATGGGAATACAGGAACTAATGTGAGCTTCTGTGGATTATTTCTGAGTTTAAAAAGACAACACAGGAAAAAAACAATGCTAGTTTAAGAACAATGGGAAGACTTATTTTGTTTAATTTTAAATAAAGGAGGACTTAAACATATTTGGAGGCAGGGGAGAGGCACATGAGAACAGCACAGGGCAAAGCCAAGAAGTCATACATACACTGGGATCCAACATCAATGTAATGCTCGTGTTACGTCTGGAACACTAGATTTAAAAAGCTCTGTTTCATGAACAGCTGTGGACCCTCTGTGACACGTCCACAACCCTGGCAGCAGGCCTCCTACCATTCATAGGCCCTCAGTGTCTCCCTACGTGGCTCCTTTGTACGGTTGCTAGAACCATTAAATATGGACTTCGGCCCATCTTCTCCTGTAAACCACTTCCATCTCCAACATGCTTAAACCAAAATGACTAGGATCTAGATGTGGCTCCTGCCATGTATTCTACTGCATGCTCTTCCTTAACTGTTCTGTGCCACATCTAGGATTTACACAAAAATTAGATCTAAAGAAAGGAATTTAGAGTCAAACAGCACCTTTCCCCCAAATTAATAGAAACCCTCAATTAAACTTCCTTTTCCACCAGTCATTCATACTTCATCCTGGAAAAACAAGTCATATATTTCTTACCACTTTCAGCAGAACGAATGGAAGCAAAACAACTTTTTTTTTTTTTTTACAAATACATAAACTGAGAATTTGCTTGTGAGAATGAAGCGTATTCATTATGAGCACTGTTACAATATATTTCCATTTTAGTGTGATTGGGTTATGAAGCAGCAATTCTGTTAAGTAGTTACTCTTATTAAAACACGACTCTTACTATTAACACTGGGAAAGTCAGACAAAGCAAAAATCGTTATGAAAGTAATCAGTAAACCCTATTTAAAGTAGATTAATAATGTTTCTTCTATAGAGATGATCTCAGAATAACTACTTTAAGCTTAGTGGTGGAGAAAAATTAATGAATAGTGCAACATTAGGTCCTTTATACATCTTCATAAATTGTTACCATCTGTTGTGAAATCACACTTTTTGGACGGAGGTAAGAGATTCTCCAAAAAACCCAAAATATGTGATGAAGGCCAAATGATAAGAAAAGGAATTTAGTACTAAATATCAGTTTAGTAAAATGAGTTGTTACTATGGGGGCAGTGCTGAGCCCAGGATTCCAAGGCGAGACTGTGATGCCTTACCTCGGTTGGCTGGGGTAATATTGCTACAGTCATGGTGCTGGTATGGATGCGGCCTTGCTTCTCTGTCTTTGGCACTCTTTGTACTCTGTGCACACCACCTTCAAATTTCATGTGCTTATAGGCTTCTAAACCCCCAATGCTGGCAGATGCATGTCTAAGGCCACCTTGAAAATAATTGGAAAACAATTATTATTCTTGTGATTTATAAACAACTGACCATCACTTCCACCATCTTGAAATTACACTGAAAAGAGCTACAAAACAACAGAAGCATACAGAATGTAAAACACATTGAAAAACCTTAGCAAGTCCATGATATTCAGTGTTTTAATATTTAATACCTTTATTGCTAACAACCACTAAACATAAAGCATTTATGGTATTAATGAACTGATTGAATAACATATCTAAAAGGCTCCTTTTTTTTTTTTTTTTTTTAAAGATTTTATTTATTTGACAGAGAGAGACACAGCGAGACAGGGAACACAAGCTGGGGGAGCGGGAGAGGGAGAAGCAGACTCCCCGCTGAGCAGGGAGCCCGATGCGGGGCTCGATCCCAGGGCCCTGAGATCATGACCTGAGCCGAAGGCAGACGCTTAACCATCTGAGCCACCCAGGCGCCCCTAAAAGGCCCCTTTTAAAAGACCATTAATCATTTAATGGTGAGTAGTGAATGACTAACATCTTATAGACCACTTCAAAATTGGCATATTTGTATTCAAAATTATTAAGTGAATGATGAGCATAAAATCAGGTAAGCTTCCTTATCAATAAATTCTAAAGCTTAGTCGTAGTCTTTCCAACCCTTATCCTAGTACACATGTAGATAAACTAAATCTGTACTCTTCCCAAAACGACTTAAACAGTTTACTGACCTATTTCACTTGGAAAATATTCCAGGGTTTCAAAATGCCATCTTTTAAATGCAGCATATTGCTGATACATATCAAACATCTCTGAAGTAAACAACATTGCCTCCTGACCCCCAACTCCTGCAGTTACCTCCAAGATCAAATCATTTTCATCTGTTTCTTCTGAGGGAACCAAAAGTAAAATAATCTGTAAATACAAAAATATCACCCCTCCTATAATTAGGAATTATTTAAAACTTAACAAAAAATAAAGCTAAATGATTAGATGCAGGATTTTAAATACTGTATTAAAGTTTCTCTAAGCAAACAGTATTGCTGATTGCTCTTCAACTATCTTGCCAATGAGAACCATCTAGTAATGCATAACTTCTATAAAATATTAGTATAACAACTATATTATAAATGCTGTAAGGTCCAGCTGAAACTTATATTGCATTGCATTGTTTTGTTTCTTTTTGATGTTCATGTATAATTTTATGTGAGTTCTCTGTTCAGTTAATTAAGAGTTTGTGAGTAGGACACTATATTGTATAGAATGCAAAAGAAGATTCTAACTCTATCCTTCTGAAATCTATAGCTTACTACAGCAGAAAAGAAAAAAAAACCCTCACATTGTATCTTCTTAAGCTTCTTTAATTTGGAAGAGAACATATGTCCTTTTATTTCACAAAATTAGAAAATGGGTAGAAGGCAAGTTACATGAGACTTTTCACTTCATAGTGGAACTTTCCCTCTGGAATGGGTGGTAAGGACATTAACTTTTGATGAGTCCATTATTTGATTAAAGACAGAATCTTTAAATTAAGCTCCCCCTTTTCTGGGCTCCTTCCTCACCTCGCCATGTCCTTTTACTTATATCCTCAGAGATAACTACTGTAAATCTTTAAGCTCTGGTTTCCAGAATGAGCAAAGAGTGGTTCTTATTTAATATAATGATTACTATTCATCTAATGCCTATGGATTCTCCTAGATATAAAACCAAAGCACCACAATTCAGTTCTAAAAGCCCAAGGGCCCACTCTAGGCCTGGCACTCTAATACTGCCAGAGACACAAACGTAAAGAAATATTCCTGCTGCCAAGCAGCTCACTATCTACCACTCCTCCATAACCTCTTCTACCCATTGTCTACCCCCACCCTCACCTCTCTTAAATAACCTAAAGAGGGGGCAGATATAATACTGATATTTATTTCATTACTTTTCCAAAAAATCCTATCAACGTTGACAGTCACCTTTTTTTCATGGCTCTCCAATCCTTTTGGTATGATAAAAATAGGACCACATGGAGTAGGCTTTTTCCTGCTTTAAAAAAGTTTATAATTCTAAATAATAACAAGCTACTTAGTTCTTGAGTTGTTTTTATAAACTTCTAATAAAATTCATTAGAAGTAATAGCACAAATGCTTTTTATTCTTTGCAGATACCATACCTGATGCTTCAGCTGAGTGATTTCTTTTTGACGTGAGCTTATTTCATTTTCTGCAAGTTTCCTTAAGTCTTCATTTTCATCTGCGAAAATAAAGCAGTAAGTTAAGTTTTCCTTAATGTCAAACTGCCAACAGAATTCAAAGTCATTATTTTATTATTATTGTAGCTGAAGGGAAAAATAAAATGTCTTTCTTGTCCTTTAATAACTGCCATTAATTAAAAGTGGCATTTTATGCATTAGTTTTTATTTATTTTATTTTATTAACTTAAAACAAAAAACATTTTTCCTGATGACAGAAGTATAAGGAAAATAAAAAGAATCTACAAAAAAATAAAGAAGCTATTAAACTATTCTATAATTCTACCTCCATGAAATATTCGTATTAAAAAATATGCTTTTAGTTTTCCAACTTAGACTACTAACAAATACAATGAGTAGTTAAACCAGAAGGGGAATTGAAGGTTCCATCAGTTAAACCACAATGGAATTAAAAAATAGAAAGTTATATTGTCTCTTTAACAAACATTTCATTAATATAAAATAAATATCCACCAAGTATTTAGATCCTGCCTCACGTTCACAGAATGTTTACATGAAGTACTTCCCCCCGCAACTCGCTTTACTCTTTTACTTCCTCTTTTGAGTTTTCATTTTTATCTTACAAAATATACCTTCTCATCCCTCTATCCTATGGACAACATGCAACCTAGAGAAAGGAGAGAAGAGAAATTTTTTTTAGCTCTTACACATAGCTCTCTTTGAGCAGCTCACTTTGGTGAAAGATCGGACTGTTCCAAAGTATCAGTTTGTATGTTTGTTCATTTATGAAGATCCAACTATGCTGGGAATTAGAGATGATAATATGTAAGACCTGCTCTCAAGGCAGGGTTTTAGATAATTTTAGTTTCTTTATAATTTTCTAGGGGAGAAAAACAAAGAATAACAACCTAAAACACTAGGTGATTAAATATTAAAATGGTAGCACACTAGAAGATTGTTTTTGTGTTTATTTTGGGGATGGGCAGAAAATGGAAAGCAGCATTAACTCAAGGAGAGGTAACAACACAAACCGTGAGATAAGCAATGATGGGAAGTGTTGGTGGAAAGGCAGGAAATTATTCTGGCAAGAATCTGGCATGGAAGAAATTTGGTGAAATGGCAAATGGGTTGAAACAGAAAAAGGAAAAATGAATTCTAGTCCTAGTTCAACCACTAAGGTTCTCTTAGGGGCCAACATTGACAATTTCTCTGAGTCTCCATTATCTTGAGAAAAATGAAGGAGCTGGGCTGGATGACCTCTAAGGTGACTTTCAGTTCTGAAGTGCAGTTCTTCTGTAAGGCTAAGCAGATTGGAATTAAAGTCTAGAAGTAATTTAATTTTAATACTACATTTTATTTGTTAAGCCAGTATACCCAAACCATTATCATTTCAACATGTACTTTAAAAATATTAAAAATTATGTTTTTATATTAGGTCTCTGAAATCTGTTGTGTTATTTTATCCTTACAGTACATCTCAATTCAGACTAGCTACATCATAGGTGCTCGTCAGCCATATATGGCTGCTGGCTCTAGAGGGTTTAAACTGAGTAGTTATTTCTAGGCAATGGAAATACACTAGTTCTTTCTCATTCAGTATTGTTAATCAACATGTTTACTGGGCACCTATCACAGGTAAAAGGGTCTTTTTCTCTTCAACCTTTCAAGTACCGACTTGTTGTCACCCCCTCTTTTCCTATGCAAACTTCAGGAGATTAAATGCCATGTTTATTATTTCTCTTGTTAATTCTCATTTACTTCTCAAGTTCTTACACTGGATTTCATAATCATATCAATAATACCATTTTTATTAAAATCACCCATGACAAAATTGCCAAATCTAAAGGCTTATTTCAGTGTGAGCTGAAAAGGTGAGCCCTTTTTAAGTCAGGTATCAACAATCCCTAACTTGAAATTTTAGTTGGTTTTTATACCTTCATTTATCTTGTTCAAGGTCCCAAAGTTCTGCTTGTTCTTTCTTGATCTTTTATAACTTCCTCCTCTGCCTGCTCCTCAAATACTATGTATTTCTGTCTTTGTTAGCGTCTTATTTGTATCCTCTACAAATTCTTCCTGAGTACTCTCATCTGCTTCCAAGCTTTACCTTATCAGGTATATGCTGAGAGTTCTCATATGATTATTCAGGCTCAGTTTTTCGCCTATGCCAGTAGTTTTTTCTCCTAGATCATGATCTTCATCTGAATTTCTTTATCTGAATGTCCTTACAGGTACTCCTAGCTAAATATGGCTGCCCGTTCAGCACAAAACATCTTTCTCCTAAAATTTACCCAACTTTTATATTCTCATCTTACAGTACCACTCATGTTCTGAACCCAGAAGCTTAAGATTTTTCTTAGAATTCTGGCTCTTCACCCTTCCCAGGACATAAGCTGCCAAATGCAGATTATTGTTAGAATGTCTTGTTGGTGAGGTCCCTGCTTACCACCACCTCTTCCTTGGACTGTTTTAACAGCCTCCTCACTGGCCTGTCAGCCAGTGGGGTCCCTGGAAAATACTACCAATCCATCTTCAACACCGAGGCCAACATTAATCCTTCTTTAAAAAGATGTCACTTCTCTGCTTAAAAACATGTGCTAACTTCCCACAGTCTGTAAGAACAAATCCAGATTCTTTGTCAGGAAGGGTTCTTAACTGTCTTTCTGGTTTTAAGTTTCTATTACATTATTGACACCCACACCTACTCTGTGCTCCTGCTATACTCTAATCTTCCAGTTTGGTACTTTCTTCTTGCAGGTCACCTCTGCCTTCAGTCTCCTTCTCTTGCACTGTCTGGCAACCTCCTGTATTCCCTTCAAGATCCATTTAAATGCCACCTTTTGCTTTTTATAACATTGCTCTTTATTGCAGAAATTAAAACAAGCACTTATCCACTTATATTTTTACTTCTTATACATTGCTCTTCTTCACTAGGCTGTAAACTAAAAAGTAGTTCCCTATTTTTTTGGTAATTAGAGGTGTCTGACAAAGTAACTCAGGAATTGCTGAATGCTATTTTCTATCGTTATATAAAGGTGAGTTGTGTTCTGCCAGTAACAATTTTCTAACATTCTGTTTCTCTATAGCTTGATTTTTAAAATATTTAAACCTTAAATCCACTTGATTTTTAAGCTTGGTTTAAGCTATGAAACCAATTTAATTTTCCCCCAAAGTATTTTTCCCAATACAGTTAATTCTTTCTTCCACTTCGGGGCATCTACTTTTTATCTTAAATCACTTAATTTAGATGCTCCTTACCTCTCACTTAGACTATTGCATTAGTCTTCTGTTTTCCATGGCATCTGCAATCTCGTTCTAGGTTGCCTTTGAAACTACCTCAGATCAAGCTTTCTAAGCAAGAAAGCCATTTCTAACATTCACTCCCTCAATCTAAAAGCTTCCACTGGCTCCCTTCTGCCAACAGGATAAAATCAACCTTTTTAGATTAGTATTTCACACCCTCACCCTTATAAAGTGTTTCAACCTGCCACTCTCCATAATCTTTCCCCTTCCTTGGTTAACAAAGAGTACAGTGATTGAAAGCATAAGATTTGGAGTCAGTCCAATCCAAACTCCATTCCTTAAAAGCTGTTTAGCCTGAGCAGTTATTTTACATCTATGCCTCATGTTCCTCTTCTGGTGCGTGAGGCTAATAGTACCTACTTCATAGTTCGGTATGTGAACTGGATGAGTTAATACATAAAAATAGTTTAAGAAAACTGAGCCTGAATAATAGAGTATGGTAAAATTTGATCAGTAAAGGTTAAACTATTCTTAGTATCCTCTAAGGGTGGACCTTTATCCCTGCACAAGGCCTTCCCAACAAGTTCTCCTTGCTTTCCCTAGGTGTCTTTTCACGTATCTGTTCTCACGTTTCATCTGTGGTATTAATTTTCTCTCCCTGAATACACTGTGACCCTCTCTAGAGCCATGCTAGCCAAAGGGAGGTGTAGAAATGCAGAAACTTAGGACCCATCCATGTTTGAATGCACACCCAATCACCGAGGAAACTTGTTAAAAACGCCAACTTCTAGGTCTCGGATTCTGAGTCCAGGGTCTGGCTATGCACCTCTCTCGGCACTATCGCAGGTGGTCTCTTTACCACTCTTTGAGAAACACTGCTCTCAAGCCCGTAACAGAGACAGTCCCTTACTTGTCCTTGCTGAGCTAAAGATCTGCCAGACGGCAGGCAATCAATAAACTTAAATTCTGTAAAAGGGGGCGGAGCATTGTGTCAAGGGACTATAAGGGCTCAAACAGGAAAAGATGGGATGAGAATGCACACAACGATGCCTTGACCTCTGATTTAAACCAAAAAGGGTTGCAACTGAGGAAAGAACTTCTAACTCGGGGAGGTGTGAACACCTGACCAGGGGCATAGTGGGAAAAGCAAACGAAGAATCAAGAATCGGCTTTGAATCCCGTTCCCCTGGGCCCGGCCCTCACCGTATAGCAAGTGCTCGGTCTCCTGCAGCTCCTGCTCCTTTTCGCTCAGCAGTCTGGCCGCCGCCAGCAGCTCAGACCCCCTGACCTGCGACTGGGCTTCAGCTCCTGCCTGACGCTCCAAGAAGGTCCGCAGGGGCCCGCCGCGAGCGAACAGCTCCTCCAGCGGCAGGCGTCCGCAGTTTAGGTGCCGGCGGGCCGGGCTGACAACCTGGCGGGCCCACAAACACCGAGCAGCGCCCCGAAGAAGCTGGGACCGCATAGCTGAACGGCAACCGCCGAGCTCGACCAGAGCCGGAAGTTTCGGATGGCGAATCTCGCGACACCGCGCGGAGTTTGGAATCCGGCGAGAACTGGCCGTGACCAGCCCGGCGCACGCGCCAGTTTTAAAAGGCCTCCCGAAAGCCTCGGTGGGAACTTTGTGGCAAGCATTTAAACGCCTTATTATTCGCGGAGGCCGGAAGGGGGCGGAGCGGGGAGTGATCCGAGTGGGTCCCGGAGATTCCCCGGCTCGTTTAGAAGCTGGGTCCGAAACGCCGCCTTGAATGTGCTGGGGCGGTGTGTTGGGCAGGAAGGGGATGCTGAAGGTTGCCCCTCGGTTTTCTGATCTCGAGGATTTATTTCCCAGGCACTGAATGAGGATCTCGAGTACCGCAGTGGAGGGTAGTGTGGTCCGCTAGCGGGGTGGAGGTCACAGCCACGGAAGTCCTTTCCGGTACCAGCCTGGCTTTTCGTCTCCAAGAGTGATCCGTAGGAGGGGCATCGCTGTGTGTGTGTTTACTCCTCTTCCTCTTTTTCCGCCCATGTCTCTCCGACGGTGGGTAAGGACGGGACTAGTCTACTCGAAGGCAACCAGGAGAGTGATTTCCCCAAATCTGCTTTCCTGCCTTTATGTGCCACGAAATTTACTTGCTTTCAAACGACTTCCTTCCTCACCGAGTCTCTTGCCCGTCCATTCTCACTCCGAGTTATCGATAGCTACTTTTAAAAGAGATTGAGTGATTCCACGTCCCAATAAACCACAGCGCAGCAAAACCTTCAGAGTCCCGCCTTCGGTAGCCCAACCTCCATCTGCCGCCAAAAACCTTGAGATCGCGGATTGGTGCCAGGGATACCGAGGTTTATTGGTATAACGTTTTGCATTTTTTCAAAAGAGCTTTTCACAGCCCACCGGAGGGATGGATATGGGGGTATAAATATAACCAAGACAGTCCTGGGGATGCAAGGGCTGACTCAATCCGGGAATTCCACTACCTGACTGGTTTGCGCAGTGTACTAAATGTTTTCACTGTTGAGAGAGCTGAAATACTGAACACGCTTGCAGTTTGTTTTTTAAAAAATCAAGTGGTAAATACGGGAGCCCTTGGCAAGGTTAAGTCATCCCGAAGTCGTCTAATCAAAACTACTGAGGTTTGGTATAAAATTCTTGGAAGATGAGCTTGCATTATCTCTTATTCACTCCTTAGCTCTACATACAAATGCAAAGTGAAGTGGAGGAATGAGATGACTCTCCAAATTATATAAAGCAAAAATAGATTTTGCTACTTAAAAGCTCCAACTGATTACCTCAACTATTCGTTTCACTTTGTGTATTCAAGCCACACTGCTTTATAAAATCGTTTTTCTTTAAGATAGTGGTTGAAACCCATTTTAATTCTGATCGGAGTACAGAACAGTACTGATCAGGTCGTTTTTTAATCTTTATTAGAATCAGCTATTTCCCAAGTCTAAACTCTGAATTTTTTTTAAACCATAGAAATGGTGGGAGTCACTTGAACGCAGTATGATAAATTTCTCAGCTGAATTCTCAAGTCATTTCAAGAATATTATTTATAAAAGGTGAAAAAACCTGATGGAACGCTGTGAAGAATCCAGCCAGAAATTATTGTATTCCCTAAGATGTATAAGCAATTTAAGTAATATAAATAAGTGTACCTTTTACTCCTATAGTGTTACACCAATGAGGAAACAGTAACTTGTCTAAGGATACATTGGTGAATTCTTTATTAATTCAAAACATTTTTAAAAAGTGTAATGCATGTGCATTTTACAATAATATCCATAGGTTTCCACAGTATCGTTAAATGAAAACAACTGTAGTTTGATTTACTTTGAAAACTAAAAAAAAAAAAAAAAAAAAAAAATAGTGTGAGACTTCTGAATTTCCTTACATTATTGTCATGCTCAAATTCTCTGTACATAGGTAAAATGATAAAATAGATTAAAGGATGGGGAAATAAAAACCCAAAACAACTTAAATTGGAGGAAAAATCTAGATTATTCAATTTATAAGTACCTACAGTTATTCTGACACTGCAAAATAACCAAGCATGTGTCTCAAGTTGCATTCATGCATTCAAAATTCCTTTATGGTCCACTATTATGAGTGGACTACAAAATATGGATATAGATTATTAAGTACAATGAACATGGTAGCAAAAAACTGCACACATTCAATATGATAAATTTTACAGAACCAACACATTGAAATTATTTTTTTATGTTTAGCAAACACCCTAAAATCATATACAAGAAGCTGTATTTATGACAAATAGGTTAAAGCAAGGGGGAAAAATCAAGTCTTTTATATTATTTCAATAATCAGTGTTCATTGTTCTGTTGAGGGCAATATGGAAAAGCACTCAACACAATGATTACTGATTTAAATTACCTCTTATGACAATTAAACTAAAGTCTTTGCTATCCAAGGGATGTAAAGGATAAAGTAAAGATAGTTCAAGGGAAAAAAATTCACTTTCACCTCCATTAAGTGAATATTCAAGCTAACATAGTTTTGGAGTTTTATTTTCCCATTGCACTGTATTTTCTCCATGGTATTTGTTAGCAGTCATTTAATGGAACCTAACAGCAGTACTGAGGAATCTGCTCAGAATTTTTTTAGCTCAGCTTCGATGTCCAGTACATTTACCTCTAATATGATCTCTTAATAATATATTGCTTTACAGTGGTGAAACCTAATAAACACTACCTCAACCAGCTGATCAAGGTCAATATTAACAGTGGTAAGTCATGATGGTGGGATGTACCTCTGATATCATGTGATATAAATGGCACGTTACTTCTGTGGTCTTCCAAAAACTGGTAACACCTGTCTAATCATGGGGAAAACATCAGACAAATTCCAATTAAGGGACATTTTACAAACTACTAGACCAGTACACTTCAATACTGTCAAGGTCCTCAAAACCAAAAAAAGTTTGAGAGACTGTTGCAACTAAGAGGAACTTAAGAAGACAGGATGACTAAATATTATGTGTATCTTGAATGAAATCCTGTAACAGAAAAAAGACACTAGGTAAAAGCTAAGGAAATCTGAATAAAGCATGGACTTAATGCATCAATATTGGTTCATTAGTTGTGACAAATGTCACAATGGGTGTACAGTATATGGAACCTCTCTGTGGTATCTTCACAATTTTTCTGTGAATCTAAAACTATTCTAAACTAAAAGGTTTAATGAAAAATTTTATGAACACAACCACCTTTTATTCTTTTATTTTCATATTTTCATGGTAAAATTAAAAAAAAATCATACCAGGGCGCCTGGGTGGCTCAGTTGGTTAAGCGACTGCCTTCGGCTCAGGTCATGATCCTGGAGTCCTGGGATCGAGTCCCGTATCGGGCTCCCTGCTCAGCAGGGAGTCTGCTTCTCCCTCTGACCCTCCCCCCTCTCATGCTCTATCTCATTCTCTCTCTCAAATAAATAAATAAAATCTTAAAAAAAAAAAATCATACCAGAATGTTTCTATTCCGTGCCAATTTCAGTGTTTTCTCATGGCCAGTCTCTCATAATTTAGTTTTAGCTTTATTTCCCATATTTATTTGGCAATTTATTTGATGTTTATATTCTTCCTGTCCTTGGGAATGTTGTTTTATTTCCTTTGGAAATAAAATTTTTCAATGACTTATTTATTATTTATCTTATTTAAACATTTATTTTAAACCTACAATATTATACATGCATATGCATACACACATCTATATACATATATCTGTGTATGTGTGTCATGGAAAGAAACATACTTTCTGGTTGTAGGTTCAGTATGATGTTCATGAACTGAAAACTGAATTTGAATCATATTGAACAAAGCAGTAACAGATTCATATAGTCCTCCATCTTAAAATAAGTGTGGATGAATAATTAAATCAGATTTTTAAAGTATGCTTTTCTAAAGAATTGGGGAAAAGTGCATTAAAGTGGTATTTAATTCATACATTCTTGAAATGGGAATAATTATTGAGCTGGAGAAGTTTGATAAAGTAGTAATAATATATGTAACACTTTATTCTTTCCACGTTGACTTCTTTTAATTCTCATGGCCACCCTGTAAATAAGGGTATTCTATTCCCCATTTGAAGATGAGGAAGCAGGCTCAGAGAGGTTCAATATAATATTTGCCCAAAGTCCCATGAGATAGAAATGTAACTTGAATTCAAATTTGTAAGTAAAGCCTGGTATTTGGGAACAACTGTATCAATCTACGCACTACCATGTGTTGCAAGGATACTATTAAGAACGTTGCAGGGAAGATCAGAAGCCAAGTTTTTGGTATCAGTTTTATTGATAAATATTTGCAGTTGTAACAAGTGAGGAATAACTAAAACTTTTACAGATTTAATACTGTTTTCTCAGGAGAACAAGCATTTTATATCGGTCAGAAATTTAAAAAGAACTGAAAAAAGCATGCAAATATAAATGTTTGCATAATATATTTTGAAAAATAGGGTCAGCAGCTGTCAATATAAAAACACAGGCAAGAAAGTTTTGTGGAACGGTCTTTACTACCTTTCAAAGTAATATGCCATTGTATCCAGAGCAAAGTTTTTAAAATTCATTTTTGATAGGGTTCTATCTATAGGCATTTTAGACCTAAGAAGTTTTAGGTGGCTTTTGAAAGAGTTCTTATTTTCCTATTTTCTGATTGTATTTAAAATTTCTTCCTTCTGTATTTATTCCTCAAAGCATCTGACATGTTGTATTTTTTGCAAATGTAACTTGTCACAATTACGATATGACATTTTTTCAGTATGTTAAAAGTGTATAGAAAAAATGGATATGTTCAAGGTTAAGAATCAGGTATTATTTTAAGTCAGCTTAATGGGGTGAAAATGTGTTTTTGCCCCTAATATAGAAACATTATTTACCTACTGCTATAGTCCTTTTGCAAAACTGAACTATCAGGTAAATATATGATATGCATTTCATTCTGTAAGTAAGAACCTAGGCAGCATTAAAGGATACTAATAAACACCCCATGCACCATGACCAAATATCAGAACTGGTCATCCTATGTACATATTTTAAGACTTTTTTTTTTTTTTTTTTTTAAAGACCACATTATGGTCTTGATTTTTGCACTCCATAACATTGATATCAAAATTGAGTTTTGCTATTTTTGTTCATATGCCAGTGCACCCATTGTGCTTAGAGCTGCCCTATAACACTGTTGGAACATCTGTATTACCTTTGGGTAACATAATAACAATTATCCAGAGTAAAGAAGAAGAAGCATCATCCATCCATTATCAGTGTGACCTATGTACAAGATCCTTCTCTGAAGAAATCTGGCATCATCCATCCATTATCAGTGTGACCTATGTACAAGATCCATCTCTGAAGAAATCTGGCTCTCCAATTTAGTTATATACATTTATATATAATCTATACCCTTCACTTTTCTTTCCATGATAGACACATCTGAATTTAGGCACTATAGAAAGAGCATTCATCTCTTCCTGTGTGCATCAGCAGATTCTAACAGTACACAAAGATATCCTGACAATCTAAAACACAAAGTGTACCTTCTAAAGTGCTAATTTGTCCCCAGGGAGGAATATAATCACTAGGAAAAATCAGATTCTATCATAACAAATATTGTGCTCTTGGAATGGTGGCATAGAGACCAGTTGAGGGCTTTTTGTTTATTAAAGCTCTGTAATTGAAACAGAAGGAGCTACACCATACTTTAAAAATTGGTAGAGTTGCAAATATACACACATACTCGTAGATAGAAGCTTCAAACATTTTGAAATTAAATGAGAAACCTCCCCCTCCCCCCAGTAGGAATTCAGCGCAGAAATGCTCACATAACATGGCTGCCAACATCCGATGTGTAAATCTGCTCTAGAATAATTCTCAACCCAACTTCCGAATCATGCCTCAAAAGGATATACTAACTTCAAAGTCTGTATTCTACAAATGCCCAGGTTAGAGATTAGGACTCTTTATAAGGGCCCTTATCTTTTACATTTGGTAAAATATTAAAGGTATTGTCAAACAGACAATTCATCTAATAGTCCAAAGTATCTTATAAAGATAACTTATGGCTAGCAGGTCACCATCAGATATAGTAACAACAAGAATATAAAGTCTACATGTAAAAAGATTGATGCATGCAGTGTGTTATAGTATATTACATATTTTCTGGTCATGTGCACCAATTTATTGTGCCTCAAACATAGCAACAAGTATGATTTTACAACATATATGTGAATACATCATAGGAGCATAATAAACTCAATTCTACTCAAGAAAAAATTAAATAATTTAGGAACAATAGAACTTCACAATAGAAGTGATGATTCTTGTAGGTTTTTCTTCACTCTTTCGGAAAAAAATAGGACTTTTTGTAAACATCTTCATAGCTATCTTTTTTTCAACATATTACTGAAAGCTATTATTCAAATAGGAAATATCTAATCGACATGGATAAAGTATGTCTTAACACACTAACACTTTCAGACAAAAACAGGCATTTATTAAAAGAAAGGATTATTACAAATATTTTCTATCTTGTATTCTAACTACATTTTCATAAATAATGTATTTAAAAGTGCTGAATATGGTAGGATAGTCAGCAACGCCAGTGTAAACAGAACATTTTGTTTTCTAACTCTGCAAACTTTTTTTAATCCCATTTTGTCAAACACTGCAACAGCTAAAATATTTGCATAGGGAATAGATAATAGCCCTTTTAACCATATCTCCTGAATTCTATATAAATTAGAAAATCAAATTCACTTAAAAAAACAATTCTTGAAATGTCTTAAGTTTTATGGAAAAAGAAACTTATGATGCCAACCTTTCAAGTAAAATAAATTTTAAAAAGAAAACCCCAAACTTGTTTATTTTAAAAATGTTTAATAAATTAAAAATGAGAGGTAGTTAAAAAAATGACAAAACCCATAATTTTAATATCATCCTTAATATAAGGCCAGTATTCTCAGTGGATATAAATATTTTTAAAACTTTCCCTTTAGGTGACTCAATACTGTATTTATTAAGTTTAAGTTAAAAAAATAGCCTCCAGGGGATATTAATATTCAAATGTAACACCTTGATATAAATATGACACTGACTTTTCTGTGTGTGCACGTGATGGGATACTGTTTTCTTGAATGTCAAAAGAACATGCCAATATCAGGCAAGTATTCCGTCTTTAAGATTTAGTGGTACTTATCAAAAATAATATGGCAGCTAGAAGATTTGAGCACTGTACTGCCTTTCAATTATGGATGAGTATTAATAGTTTGGCTTTAACATTTTTAAAATAAGTCATTCTGAAGATACTATGAAAACAGTTAAGGTCTGAAGTAGAGAATTATCTTCTTCATAACCCTTACAAAACTTCTCTTGGCTAAAAACTTAGCTTTTCATTGGATTTTGCTTTCAAGGAAAATATGCCACAGGACAGATGCTATTCATCAAAATGTTTTATGATGCTACATTTAGGCATTCCTTTATTAATCCTTTTTTTTTATATTCCAAAACTAAGTTATCGAGCTTAGTATTTTTTTCTTGCTAAAGTACATACTTTACACAACCGTTTTAGAACTGGAGAGCCAGTCTTTAATAAATTAATTACAGTATTGGACATCTGATATATACATAGATTTTCTTCTATTACAATTAAAAACAGTTATCACTCTTTGATTTGTCATTGAGATAGAATATCTTCAAATTGTTTTGTGCTTTTTTTCTCTTTTCTTCTTCTTATTATTTGTTGTTTATTTTGTTTTTTTACATAGCAAACTATTCTGTAAAGAAAATGCCACAGTTTTGGCAGTGAACAACCAGAGGAATCCCCCATTAGGATTTCCCAACAAACAGAGATAAAGAGCTCTTTTTCCATGTACAGAAATATTGGCTTCAAAATGAGTGTACTGAACACAGTATATAGCGTGTTGAATACCATTGTTACAACTTAAAAATTGGCTTTTTCTGTCTTAGATTATATTTAAAAATGCAAACCAAAGCCAATTTTTTTGGCAACTATTTCTATAAGACCATATTGCACAAAAGTCTTTAAATACAGATATAAGGTATGCCATTGGATTAAATATTACAACAGCTACATGGCAAATGAAGCAGTTTTACTTTGCACATGCAGTCTCGGGATACACTAGGAGACTGTTCATAGGACTACAAATACAGTTTGCTTGCAAGTAGAATGAGTGTTGAATAAAACAAACAATTTGGCAATTCATTGTTTTTCTGTGGTGTTTTCTCCAAACTTAACCAGGATAACCTTGATAAAAATGGAGACAAAGACCATATGGTTGTATTTTCACAGTAGCCTGAGGAATGCTAAACTGTAGTTCTCCAGGAACTCAGTTTCTGGTGTTATTTAATTACTTTTATTTCCCATCCCAGCCCTCCAAAATGATTTTTTTTTTAATGAAAATTAAGATTCAGAAGCAGAGTTGGCAGTACTTTCAACAAAGGACTTATAAATTTGAGAGTTCAAAAACCTTGGAAAAGAATCTCTGTGCATTAAGGTATATATCTGAAGTTGGGCATCTTCATACATGTGAGGATTAGGATCCAACAGATTTCTATTGATCACCTCTCTAACTCGAGAATCGAGACTGACCTAAAAAGAAATAAGAGCAGATACATTAAATAAAATTTTTTTCAAAAGCTTTCAATTAAGTAAATATAGGTTTGTGACATTTCAGAGAAACTTCAAAGAGTTAAATCCAACTACCTAAAATCTTGACATTACCTTTCTTTTTTTTTGAGGTTACCTTTTCTTAGACTACCTAACCTTGCATACTTTTCTTCCTCAAAAGTTGAACTAAAACAAACAAAAAAACAACTTGTCTTTTAAACCAGAAATTTAGTTCACAGATATCCTGGCTTCCTTGGATTTATCTTTTCTATGTACTCACTCAGGTTTTTGACCATTTCTATTCATAGTTGAGGCACTGGAGAATTCCGTAGCCAGAAGACAAATTTATCTCCTCCTATTAGGTAACTGCTGGGGTGACTCTCTTGATGGGACAAGGTAAAAATCTGTCAGAGAGTAGTTCTCTGGCAAAAATTAGCATATCAAGTGCTGATTCCTGATAGTTTTAATATCCCAACAAATCCTATAGCATCAGAGTAAGAAACCAGGAACGTGGAAGGGTGTAGTAGAGCAAAACCAGCGCAGGCATTTTCCATGTCCTGGGGGTACCTGGCAAGGCACAGAGGTCCTTATCCGAGATACATCTAAAGATCTCTGTTCTAAAGATTAAGTAGAACAATTGCTTGAAGTGGAGTCTTTGAAAAGAGAAATGTAAGTAGGAATTCAGAATACCGTGCAAGTAATCAGTACAGTGTTATTTAAAAAGCCAAAATAAATTAAATTCTGCAAATGATAGTTTTTGTTTTGTTTTGTTTTCCATCACTAAATGCTGATCCTGTTGGAGCTGGTAGGACTGCTGAAAGGGAACTGGGGAAAAATAAATAGCAATAAGGGCAGGCTTGGGGAACGGAAGTTCTGCTCTGAAGTGACATGTTAGCAAAACCTAAGAGGCCAGCCAACACAAACTTGTCCTGATTGGCTTCCTCAGTCCTCGCTGTTGAACACGGACTAGAGCATTGTGATCCATATTATCTGTCTCATGATGTACTCACGTCTATACAAACCTTTCCTATTTATAGCTGAACATTTTGTTGTAAGCATTTTGCAAAAGGCCTTTTGGTTCTGACTTCTTTTCTCCCCTACTGTTTGGATTGAGCCTGGGGTCTGAGAAAGTCCTAATGACTTAAGTGGCTCATATTCTGTGTGGGTGTCCCCAGATTCCTGAGCTCTATGGCTCATGTGGAACTGGGTTGATTGCTACATCCCAGAGACCGGTGCTATGAGAGGGAAATGGTGATCCAGACTAAATTTCTATGGCTTAGCTAGACCAACGTTACAGAAAAAATTAAAGGTTTCTTGGCTGAACTATATATTGTCTTAAGAAATTCTTTAAAAAAAAAGTTCTGGAAATGGATCATTTAAAGGTTTTATTCTCTGTGTTACCTAAGCCATCTGAGGTCATCATCAGTACAAAGAAATAAAAAATACAGAATTTTTTCCTAAGATTTTAATTTAAAAATATTGTTTATCTTTCTACCTAATAGGAATATGTTGACACTGGAGTTCAAGCTGATCTCATACTGAAAAGTGATGTTATGGTAGGGTGAAATCTTATCAAATACACTCAACTGTTTTTGTAAATGTTTTTGCTCTTACTTTCAAACTTGAGAACTTTTTGTTTCAATGGAGGAGGGAAATGTTAGATTAGTGATAAAGAAAAAAGATCATTTATTTCTTAAATAACAGCATAATTAAATACAGTATAATTGTTTGTGGCTGGAACCATATCCGTTACCTTAAGACAGAGAAATAAAACTACCTTGAATGATTAAATGTCTTGAGTTCTCATTGTATAATTTTATTTTATTTTTTTGCAAATTAAAAACCATAGTGAAAGATCACAGAGAAAGTCATCCAACATTTAGTAACCTGTAACAAAAACTCATTTGCTATTTCTATTTAAAAAATAAAATATTTACCTTAATGTCTGCTTGTTTTGAAAAGCTGCCAGTCAAAAGAAGTGTAGAGAGGTCAAATAACAAGGATAAACCCCATGGGTATAACAATAGAGTTTCATCTGGTGGCATCTTTGTGCTTCAGATTGTGGAACATCTATAATACAAGTTAGTGGGGGTGGATCCCAGCATGGGTCTGAGCCACAGTCACCATAGGATTCAGGCACAACTGGATGGCTCATAATCCCATCTAATCTGGGGTACAGTGACTAAGGGCCTGAGGAGTTTCCCATAAAGAACTCATCCCAAGGGAAGAGAAAATTGAGAGGCGCAAGACAAGAGCTACCGTTGGGCAATGGGAATTCTGGTAGTACTCAGTCCTCACAGACTCATATCTAGGTGGGGGAAGGGAGGGTACAATGCAGCAGTCACAGCATTAACAGAAAAAGAAGTATTCCTGTGGGCCGGGGCACCACACAGCTCCTACGGATTTGGCAGCATTCACCCAGCAGCTGTGGCAGTGGTGGGAACAATGGCGGTGTTGAGAGGTGGCCAGTGAAGTTTACAAGGCTTACATGACTTTGTGAGAGGCCTCAGGGAACTGGGAAGCATTCACTCGCACCGGGAGCAGGAGACAGGGGAAGGAGGAAAGCAAGTGGCTTGCAAACATACAAATATCCACCTGCAACTCCACAAGCTAGTTAGAAGAAAAATGTCATGAGAGCTGAAGGTTCAACAAGAGTGTGGTGGTAAAGTGGAGGGAATGAAGACACAAGTCTTGCTAGTGTGGCTTGGGAAAACCTGGCTCAAACTGAGTGATAACACCTGCTTAATCTTGCTACGTTTCCTACCCAGTGGAGGAGACCATCGAGATAGGTGAATATTGCCAGAAGGTTGTATGCTAAGTGTTGACCCTGCCTTTCTGTTCTAGCCATCAAGAGGCAATGGAAATTTTGACTTCATGGACATTTGGGGCGGAATTATGCTGAAAAGGATGAATTTTCACTGAAAGTCTTTTTCCCTTGTGGAGACCCTCCTTAAATTAATTAGGTTAATTCCTTAAACAATTCTTTAGATAACATGATTAAGTTTTTTCCTTCATTTTTTTTCCATTTTATTTTTAATTTTACCAAAGTTGCTTTATTTAGGATTCTTTTGGAAGTAAAATTCTGATATTTTTCTTTTTCCTTTATAAGTTCATATTAAATTTTACCAGTGATAGCTTCTGCCACTGGAGATATTCTTTTTAATTTTAACTAAATTTGGTTTTCTCATGTTAAATTTTATAAAGAATATTGGATTCTCCTATTAGTTTTAATAAATTTATACCATGTGTACTTTTAGTTGTATTATTTTGTGTTGATTATTTCTACTGAAAATAATTATAAATAAAACTATTGGAATTTATTTCTTGGAACAAAGATCATTGGATAAAGTGCAGTAGCCATATTCCTGGTATGGCCCAAATGATGGGAAAGTTTATTCTGCTTGTCTGAGGGAGAGTTCAGGCATGTGATTATGATTGCTGTTTCTCATGGTGTCTTAAGTTCTAAGGTTTGGTTTATAAAAGTCTATAGAAGTCATGAAGAAAATACTAGGCAATGGGATTACTAGCCAGCATATTACAGTTGAAAGGGCACCACATTTGGAATCAGAAGACCTTGGGCTTGTGTCCTACAATAGTTGGTTTACCTCTTTGAGAAACCATTTATTTCTTTTGTTGTAAAATGGTGCCCTCTGCCTTAGGGGCTAAAGGATTCTTGTGAGACCTATATTGTGATAATATATGTGAGACCATTTTGTCAATAACAAAGTTTAAGCTCAATGTAAAGTGATATTAATACTACTACTACTACTACTACTACTACTAACTGACCTTCAGTATTATGACACATTTTTGATCACAGTGTCTTCAGACTTTCTATCAACTTGAATTTTACCTTCTCAGAGTGACCCTACCTGACTATCCCTCTTCTAAACAATACCATTGACCTCCACCTCCATCATAATGTTTCTCACAGTTTTTAGTAATTTGCTTTTGAGATGATTTGTCTGTCCTGAAATGTAAGCTTTGTAAAAGATAGGCCAATGTTTTTCTTGTTCACCAACATATTCCCAACATCTAACCCAGTATCTGGCTCATAGGAAACAGACAAATATTTTTTGATTGATAATATGCATGCACAAAGAAATTAATCTGAGAAAATAGAGTTAAATGAGTCCTGTTTAGAAAAGCCAATTTAAATCATCAAAAGTGCTAATTCACATAATTTTGCTTAAAGAGGCACATACTTGCAAACACAGAATCCACATGTCTATCACATATGCATTATTTTTAGATAATTTTGGATTTTAAATAGGTTTACTGCTTTTTTTCTCCCAGATAACAACTGGAAATTCAGGATGAAATCAGAAGACGCAAACAACCCCTACTACTATTCAAATCACCATGGGAGAGAGAGCTGTAAAGTTAGAGATTTAGTGAGTTTTTGAGCTTTTTCTATGCCATTACTCTACACAATGAGGAAGCTGAGGTCAGAGACCCCTGAAATGAGCTGCTCAGTGTCATAAGGATGTTAAGTAGTAACAGGACTGGATTACAGCCCAGATTAAGGATAATGCCATCACTAAAAAGATTTGTGGAAAACTGAACAGTTTTCTTCATTATAGGTATGTCTTTTTATAATTACTTATTCTTTCAATAGCTCAATGCTGTTTATAGTAGATAATAGCTTCTAAATAGACTTTTTTTTGAGATTTTATTTTTTAAGTAATCTTTACACCCAACGTGGGGTTCAAACTTACAGGAGTTCAAGAGTTGCATGAGCCAGCCCAGGAAACACAAATAGAATTTTTACTAAAGTTCTTAATTTTGCTGGGTTTGTCTTTTCAATATTTAATAAATATAAACTGCCATCAGCATCTGCTATCTGCAGCAAGATTACTATCAATCTTAAATTCCTCTTTACTACCCCCATTTATTTTCTCTTTGAGAACATCACACAAAAAATTTACTTTTGAAAAATGCTCTTTATGTGTTTTTAGTTGTTTTTTTAAAATTAAAATTTGTCCTTTCCCTCTTGAAATATACGCTATACCAGAAAATGAAAGTTATACTGTCTCCTGATTGCAAACATCTATTTTATAATATACTGCTCAAGTTATTTAAAATGCATAAAACACACTCTTTGAGTAATGAAATGTAATTTCAAGCATACTGGCTTCATGAAGAAAATAAGTTATCTAGATATAAATAATTTTGAGAATGTAGACTTTCTCTACATTTAACCAAGAGGAACATGAGAACTCAATCAAATTAAGATAAAATGAGTGTCTAGTGAAGAAAAATGAGGTTCTAGTTAAGAATGGAATCCTGACAATTTTTAGTTGTTCAGTCATTATTTTATAAATGATTCAAATATTCATGTTCTTTAAAAATATTCGGAATAAGTAGAAACAGTCATAGAATTTCAGAGGTAGAAAGGCCAGATTATCTGGCCCCCAAATGGGAAATGGATCCCAACTCCAATTACTTTGTAGCAGCTGCTTTGAATATTGTGTTGAGAGAAATTCTCTGGTTGAATCTGGGTATAGCAGTAAGAACCATGATTGATAAGCCACTTGGTGAAGAGAATGGAGTAATAGCAAAGAGCCTTACAGCTGTCATTCTGGATTTGGTTTACTATTCTCTGTGTCCCTTTTTAGCTTTATTTTGGTAAACAAAGCAACTGAATAACAAATCAGAGAAGTGAACTAATTTATCCCAGGCCACACAATCAGGTTGAAGCAGATCCAGAACCAGAATCTTGTGCACCTGAATGATTAGTTCAGTGCTCTTACCACTATAAAGTCAGGGCTGTTCTGATGTAACATATGTTCTCTCCACTGCTGGAAAACAAAATTGGAAGGTGACAACTCGGTATCATCAGACAGTTATTATTGTATTGTGGCTGATTAGAGATTGACAAGTGTTTGCACAGAAAGGTCAGTGAGATGTAATAGTTTAGAAAGGGCTCTGGGGTGGCCAGAAAGTGCATGCCATATTCTGAGTGTATCAGTGAGTCAGGTCATGGTTCAAGAGTAAATATATCTATACCTTGGCTTAAAATATAACTTGTAAACAATTTTCTTTTATAATTGCAAATACCTACTTTTGGTTTATTTGTTTTTGCTACTCAGCAATGACCAAATGACCAAATGTAATTACTATGTTGACAGGAGAACAATCCTTTGACTAACCAAAGGCACTCATACAGTCCAATCATTTAGATTCTATGTCAAGAGTTATTTACAAGTCAGCACACAAGTAGCAAAATGATGAAAATCTGAATTTTGCTTCCATCTCTTCTCTGTGGTATTTTGAGGATATTAAGGAGTGGGTAATGGCCCAAATATAGATACACAAAGGAGAAAAGATATATGTCTGTTACACTAAATATTAGTCCATTTAATTTAGGAAAGGTAGTGCTCTTGATCAGGAAATAGTATTTTAATGACTTTTTGGTGAAACTCATATTCAAAATAAAGAAATTAGGCTAAAACAAAACTGCATTACTTTTGCAAAAACAATGAAATTCTAAGAGTTTATATTTCAGTAATCAGTAACTAAGATAGCTTAAAACTATGGCCCAAAGAAGTAATTTTATAAAAATTGTTTATTTTACAAAGCTCCGTTAATCAGTGACATCTGAAAATCAGAAGTGTGAAGACAACGGGAAAGTGTTTCCCATAAAAACTAAAAACTAGTAAATGGACACTGTAAAATAAGGGAATTCTATGTACTTCGTATGGAGAATACTTTTTCTACCAACATTCTTTTAAATTGAACACCAATCATAGGTGGTACAAAGAATGGACTAGGTAATTGAGACAATTATCATTTTCACATGATACATAGTATATATTTTGGGGAGAGAAATGGGCTAGATAATCTTCCCAAGCACCAATTATGGGCAAGAGAAGCACATCATTGGGCACATTTGGATCCGTTGATATCTTTGCCATGTAATGCAAAATTAAAATAAAAATGAGAATGAAATGTATATGTTAATAACAAGTAGAACTGGCTAGATGCTGGGGTTTCAGACAGACCACAAACCTGAAGAATGTATTTCTGATGTTAGAACCACAAAGTGGCATCAGTAATAAATGCATTGAGGCTACAGAAAAAATTCTCCCCACCTTGTTTCTATGAATACTTTTTCTATATTAATGAGGGAAATAAAAAATAAAACAATCTTTGTGTATCCAATTCCAGGTTTCTCATTTTGTAGAGACAATACTATTGGAGTCCTCTGGAATACCAATGGCAATTATAACCTTAACAAATTTTTTAAACTTACTAAGGTATACCTTATTAGAAGTGAAATCCTTTATACAGCCTCAATAAAGTAGACATGGATTTGTTTTATAGATTTCAGGGTGAGGGGTGTAAAGCAGGTTGGGGCCACATCCCGGATTGGATGAAGCACCAATGAGCAGAGCCTATTTCTAGGGAACTTTACAAATGGGAACACAGGAGAGGAGTGTGAAGCAGAAGGTACCAGGTCAGGATATTTAAATGCACAGAGATAGGAAAGACAAAAAGAGGGTGGTGTGGAGAACAGAAGGCATTCAGGAACCTCTAAATTCAAATGTTTTAAAGGACCCTGGAACTCTGTCACGCAGCACTCCAGAGGCCTGGCTACACTATTCATTCCTCCCTCATCAAGTGCTTTTAACCCTGGCAGCTGGAACATTACTTAGGATCAAATTAATTTTTAAAAAGTTAATGGAAAATTGTTAATTTGTTTGCTTGAAATGTTCCTTGTTTATTAGGTATGTTTCGGCAATGGCAAAAATAGCTTGCATTTTGAATAACAGGATAACTGGAATAAATAAAAGTATTGCTATTACCCATCTCTCCCCTAAGAATATTAATGGGTCATAAAGGCCCATTCTTCAATCTGTAAAAATTCTATGATAAGCATCAACAAACATGGTAGTTTTGGTTTTTTTTAAAGCTCCTATTACAGAGGTTTTCAAACTAGTATGTACATGGAAAGCTTGTTAAAAGTCCAGATTCCTGGGCTCTATTTCCAAAAATTCAGATTTAGAAGTATTGGGTAGGTCTCAAGAATTTGCTTTTCAAACAAATGCTCCAGGTGATTCTCAGACAGGAGATCTGGGGACCACACTTTGAGAAACACTGCCCCACAGTAAATTCTTCTTTTCCTCTTTAGCGTAAGTCACTGTACTAAGCAAATTGTATTTAACAGGCTTCGTAAAGTTAGTTCTGAAAAGCAAGTAGCTTACCCCACGATTCAGCGAGAGATAAATGATCAAAGCATAGTGGGGAAACCTAGCCTTCAAACCTGTGTTCAGGTAGATTGTCAGAGTGAAATCTAAATTATCTGCCCAGGGAAGCCTTTGAGCCTGTCCACACCCCATGCATTACCCAATGTGGACACAGGTCCCTTTGCGTTTATCCTTGTTCTTAGGAAGCCCATATTAATATTTTCCAGATTTTTACCTCTTTTGGTGATAGTATAGAAATGTAATCTTCATAGATCATTCTGGCCTTTTCTTCAATTACTTTTTTGTTCTGCTCTTTCTTTAAGTCTTCACAGGCAAGCCAGAAAAGTAGGTTCTCTTCACTGTATTCTGTTCGGAGAAACTCTCTGAAAAGGTTTCTTCCTGCTGGGGCCTTCATCATCTTGTCAAAATTTTGAGACCAGGACAAGACTTCATCTGAAGTGGGGTTTTGGCTGCAAAGACAGAATTGGGCCATTATCAAAGGCAACTCTGACCTCAGAATACTTAGCCCAGGTAGGGGGAGAAAAGATAGAAATTGCTATTCACTTGCTGCCATCTAGTGGTCACTGACAATTAGTTTAGCCTGATCTGATAAGTATCTGCCAGGACTACTAGGCTAGTTATTTCTGGATATTAAGAAAAATTTGTTTAGGCATAAGTGTGTGCTAGGGAGCAAAGCATTCAAATAGCAAGGGGCTATACACACTGTTCACATGGTCATCATAAATTCGTAATGAAGCCCAGACATGTTCAAACCTTAACAATATATCGCAAATTGAAAAAGACACCCTATGCATTAATTTGAAGGGCAACTGAAATTTTTGTTTGCTTCTGTTGTAGATTTTAATTTAATTTCTTTGTTTATATTTTTTGATGTAGAGTTTTAACTTTAAAGCCATAAGGTACAGTTTCTCTTTTCCTCTCTGATAGCTACTTTTTCATTTGTCACTGGATCTAAAATAAGAATACATTGTATGCACTTGTCACATATTTTCCTCAGCTCTATTATTACTCTATTAAATATTATGAATGAAGTATTACCCATGAATGGAATTATTAGAGCTAAAAATCTCAGGGCCTTTATAATGACACTGAGGACTTTCTAGATATTTATATTAAAGTTTTCAGTGACTATGTTCATTCAGAAACCACCAGTTATTACTCCCTTTGGTTATACTTCAAAGAAATGGAAAAGAGAAGCTTGGAGATTCTTACGGTTAAATTGATCCAGATCTTGCTTTCTTACCCATTGGTTTATTTAAGAATTTTTAACCTCCTCAAAAAGTTAAAAATAGAACTACCCTATGATCCAGCAATTACACTACTAGGTATTTACACAAAGAATACAAAAACACTAATTCAAAGGGATACATGCACCCCAATGTTTATAGCAGCATTATCTATAACAGCCAAATCATGGAAAAAACCCAAGTGTCTGTCGCTTGATGAATGGATAAGGAAGATGTGGTGTATATATATACAATGGAATATTACTCAGCAATGACATGGATGGAACTAGAGAGTATTATGCAAAGTGAAATAAATCAGTCAGAGAAAGAAACACCATATGATTTCACTTATATAGGGAATTTAAGAAGCAAAACAAATGAGCAAAGGGAAAAAAAAGAAAGAGAGGGGTAAACCAAAAACAGACTCTTAAATATAGAAAACAAACTGATGGTTACCAGAAGGGAGGTGGGTGGGGGGATGGGGGAAATAGGTGATGGGGATTAAGGAGTGCACTTGTCGTGATGAGCACAGGGTGTTATATGGAAGTGTTGAATCACTGTATTATACACCTAAAACTAATATTATACTGTATGTTAACTGGAATTTAAATAAAAACTTTAAAAAAAGGGAAAGAAAAAAATTTTCCAACCCAAAATATATTTGTCCAAGAAGTACTTGTATTTTATTTTTTATTTTTCTGACCAAGTATTTTAAATATATTTGTTACTAATCCAAAATGTCTGAACTTCGTTCATTTAAAAAATTTTAAATGTGGAAAAATTACTATGAGGCACCAACATTAAAATCTTTTCATAGGAAGCAGAAAAAGAAAGCACCTATAATTATACAAGTAATCTCCTTGTAGTTTAATTTTATTTTGTAGATACTACAATGAGAACTTGATTTTCATTTTGGAAAAATACCTGGTTAGAGTCTGTTCTGATGGAAATGGGACCAGGGACCAGCTGGGTGCCCTTTCTGACCAACCAACTTAGGTAATTACATATCTTTTTTTTTTTTTTTATGTGTTTTAGACTCTTCCCTGATAAAGAGAAAAGCTTAGGAAAAATATTCACAGGAAAGAGAAGAATTAGGGCAATCAGGGGCTAATTCACCTTAACAGTCATTACTTTTTTGAAAGAGAGAGATAAACTCAGGCAGTGTTTTACCTGATAGCTTAACATAGGTAATAGAACAATTGATGAAAAGAAGTTGCCATCACAAATAACATCTCCCAGACTGAGAATGCATTCATTTCACAAAACCATTTTGAGGAGTACCAGGACACAAGAGCTAATACTCCAGCACTGAGTAGATGTAAATGGTGTACAAACACAAGACACGATTACAAGGTGAAGCATACTTACCATTCCTCCAGGACTTGGATATTCTCCATTTTTGTGGTATGTGTGGGTCTTCCTGCATTTTCCCCTCTTTCTTCATTCCTAACAGTGAGGCTGCAAGGTAGTATAACACTTTATTTTGTCTAGGGAAAACCAATTACTTAAAGAAAAGAAAAAAATTTGCAGGAAACTACTTCACAGAAGAATTTTATTCTCAACTATGAGAGAATATATATATATATATGTATATATATATGAAGTGTACAAAGAGTGACACCATTTAAAAATGATGGGGAAGCCTATTAAGTTCACTACTTAATAAAATAATGAAGTAAATAATCTCAAAAATGGATACTGTTATACATTCTGACTTCATCCTTACATAATTTGAATTACTTAACATCTCCCAGATACTTCACATGATTATGTGCTTTAATATTTGATATGAATCATTATGTTACTCTTTGGAGTAATGTCATTTTGACTTTTGGTTAGTTCTATTCATAGCTTGTTTTCCATTTATTTTCTCCCATTGATAGCTAAAAAGATAAAATGTTTCAGATTCTGAAACAAACTTTGCTAAATTCACATCATCATTTTCTGCATCCTAGGTGTTCTGTCCCTGATACCATCACTCCTCCATCCACTCAAGTTCGAACTATGGGATTTATATTTTTGTCTTTGCCCTTTCCTCCCATTTAGTCAGTCTTCAGTGTCTTGGGAGGGACAGGCCAGCCACTGTGAGGGTTTGGGTAGGACCACTGGGTCGGAGGAGTCTCTGTGTATCTAGGATGTAAATTTGAAAATTCTGCAGGATTGCAAGAGCTAGGATAATCCCATGGGCTTTAGTCACTCAGAACAAGAATTGTCTGATTCAGGGAAACCTCTGCTGAGCAGCACGATAGAGTGGAACACCCAAGGTTCTAGGTGTAAATGAAACGTAATGAGGGAGGTTATGGGTGATACTAAGAAGCAGGGTGGTTGGGATGGCTCAATGGCCTTGAAAAGTCAAGCTACTGAATTAGCAAACTGATCCCTCGGTCTAGGAGCCAAGAAGCTTCATTGGAGCCTGTCAGAGAGCAAAAGTCCAGATAACATGTCTTTCGTTTGTCAGACATTCATTTGTTCAACAAGGGGAAATGGAAACTATTATTTCCTAGTACCTATTATGTGTCAGGCACTGTCCTTTTCTCTCTAGTTTTATTATCTCCATTTTATAGATGAGCAAACTGAGCCACAGAGCTGTCTAGTAGGTTCGCCCAACGTTGGACATGAAATATGTTGTATGACTGGAATGTGAATCCAATTCTGTCACACAAATCTGTAATCTTTATTGAGTATCTATTAAAAACCATGCTCTCTGATAGGCGTTGAGGCAACATACTACTTGTGTGAATGCAGAAAAGGGGCACTAAATAAGGTTGTAGCAAAAGGAAGGGGGTTAGTAGGACAAGGATTCCAACAAGCCATTGTTCTTAAATCTGAGAAGCTTGGTAATGGAAGTGGAGACATTGGCTCATTAATTCATTCCTTTTTTTTTTTTAATTTTAAAGATTTATTTATTTGAGAGAGAGAACGAACGCGGGGGAGGGGGAAGCAGAGGGAGAGAATCCTCAAGCAGACTCCGTGCTGAGTGCAGAGCCCGACACGGGGCTCAATCTCACAACCCATGAGATCATGACCTGAGCCAAAAGCAAGAGTCGGACACTTAACCAACTGAGCCACCCGGGCACCCAAACATTAATTCATTCTTTGATTCTCATGAGCAAGGGTAAGGATAGAGAGAATGCTGGAAAGGGAAGAATCTAAGGAAGAGAGGCCAATCTGCAACTGAAAGAGATTAGATAGGAAAATGTACTTGGGAAAGTGGACTACCCGGAGAAAAGAGAATTCAGGGGCGCCTGGGTGGCTCAGTCGTTAAGCGTCTGCCTTCAGCTCAGGTCATGGTCCCAGGGTCCTGGGATCAAGCCCCGCATCGGGCTCTCTGCTCCACAGGAGGCCTGCTTCTCCCTCTCCCACTCCCCCCTGCTTGTGTTCCCTCTCTCGCTGCATCTCTCTCTGTCAAATAAATAAAATCTTTAAAAAAAAAAGAGAATTCAATGGGAATTGCAAAAGTGGTGTGGCTCAAAGGATTCTGGGAAGCAGAAACGCTGATCGTTAAACACCCAGCAAACTGACTAGTGCTCTGCAGAGAGGCAGCAGTTCCAGGGTTAGAACCCTCCATGCCTTCGGTGTGGGGTAGCCACGGGGAAAACAGTGAGGTGGGATTCAGAGAGAACAGCACTGTTGTTTATGTGTCTGCGTGTGGATTCTGTGAATATATCTGCAGCTTGAGGTAGTCCAGAACACTCAGCCCTCGATGTAGCGACACACTTCTGTCAAGGATGTGTTTGAGAGGAGATCCATTACCCTCTCAAAGTATCTTTGAGTAGGAGTGCTTTTCTGGAATTTGGTATCTTTCCAGTAATTATGGGAAAGTGGGTGGGAGGAGGTAGGAATACATATTGACAACATCCTGTGAAATTTCCTGGGCGAAATTCATGACGCCAAATATATAAAATGTGCAAAATTTTTGTAAATTCTGGAGAGATCATATTTAAATAGGGTATTAATACCCATTCTGCCAACCTTTACTGAGCTTGTATGTGTATGTGCGCACATACACGGTAAGGTACCATAAAAAGGCCAGATAATGAGCTTGCTTTCACTGAGTAAATAATAAACTCCTTGAGAATTTATTTCTGTTCCATTTCCACAGTGTCCCGAAGAGTGTGCACACAAATGCAGCTATACTTCACTTTAGGCAATATCTTAGAAAAAAAAATTTGTTCTCCATTGTGTCTTTGCTGTAGAGTAACAAAATCTGGAATCCACATGCGTGATTCACAAGTTTCTGAACATGAATTCTGGCTCTGATATCTGTTTCTGTGATATTTACAAACATCCCAAATGCCACCATATTAGAGTGATCATCATGAAATATTGGGTTGTGTTTGTATCTTTCATTTCCACAGATGGTAAAATATGGACACACATTTGTACTAAAACTGCTTATAACAGATATTCAATAACTGCTTAACTGTTCAGTGTTTACTCCGTTTCTTGATCTAATATTGGATTAAATATTGCCCTGTAGAAAGAAATGGACTTTCAGCAATTGTCAAGTGTCCTTTTAATTAACTTTCCTTTACTACCATTCTTAAAAAATTGGTTTCAAAGTTCCAGTTATGAAGAACTGCTAATAATGCCACTTTAAAAAGATGAAGAGAAATGGATAAAATGGTAACAGAGTTGGTACTAGACTGCTTACCATCTATGTCTTAGGAATGACTAAGTTTCAGCTGGTCTTGTTCTAAGTAATATAGTGGAGTTTTTTTTTTTTTAAGGTAATAAATGACAGGAAATATTTGCTCTAAATCAACATATACATAGTTCATGTGCTTGAGAAACGCTCTAAAAGTAAACCAAGTTCAACAGTCACGAGTAGTCATGTGGAGACATGTTTTTTTTCTCACTTTTACAATGTTTGTAACATTCTTAACTAACGTTTCTGCTTTTTAAGCAACTAAAGCCATAAAGAGAACAGAATGCATGTATAATGCTCACTGTGGGAGTCTTGATCAAAGCTTAAGTATTTTAGAGAAGACAGTGCCAATAATCTAGGCTAAGTATACGAAAATAAGCATTTAAAACCCCATTAGAAATTCTATAGAATGGTGACTTTGAGAAGGGAGAAATACATTTGGTACATTTCAGAAAATAAGGAAATATGCTTTCCTTGTGTGTGGGTGAATTTTTTGTTTGCTTACAGGGGCGCTGAATGAGTAGGGTGGGGAAAACATTACCTGCTGCCCGTTACAGAGCTTACCTACTGATTCATCATCATGGATGTGTGTGGGGCCTATTTTGGAAGACAGTCTACTTTTGTAGGAAAAACAACTGGTTCTTAGGGAGAGCCCTTGAAATGGCTGCAAATAAGATGAAAACTTTGCAGTAGCCATGGTAACTCTAGAATGGGGGCCGATCGCAAAACCACATAAATTTACACAAAATCTCAGCTGAAGAATCAATAGGATGCTTGAATTTAATTCACTATGACATCAAGGCTCAAGAAAGATCCACTGTCATTGGTAAAGACAGATACTATTCAGTATTTTAAAATTCTCACAGTGTATCAGTTTTTCTTTTTTTATTTAACAGCTTCTACCTCAAATTTTCCAGTGCAAAAATGGAATCAACATCCTTCAGACTCTGAAAAATAATTGGTAGGTTATTCTTCAAATGTTTCATTTTTTCCCCCAGTAAAAATACCATGGTAAAATAATACCACAGCTTTATTTAGGAGTCAACAACAATTTATAAATATGTATGAGACACCTGGTTCATGCAATGTTGCCTGGGTTGGAAATTCAAGATGAATATGACAGAGCCTCTGAAAGTGAAAAGCTCTGACAGGTAATAAGCATCACACAGCACTGCAATGAGAGCTAAAATAGTGGTATGCATATAATGTTTCTTAGGTAGTTACAGTGTCTACACTTTTGCATGAGAGAATTGAGAGAGGCTTTGCAGAGGAGGTAATGATTAAACTGAGCTGAACAATGAAGGCAGGTGTTTCAGATGAGACCGGGACAAAGGGAATTCCAAGCAGAGGGGGGAAAGTCACATGTAAGAGGCTGGGAGTTGTAAAAAGGCACGATATAAATGTAGATCAAAATGGGCCGATCAGATGTTTCAGGGTGGCAGTGATACATTAGAATAGGCAGTGAGGTGTGCTTATGTAACAGGCCAAGAAGACAATGAGGTGCTCTCCAAAAGTAAATATACCTCCTTTATGATGACTTTTGCTTTTATTGCTTTATTTTCCTCCTCTCATAAGGGGATAATGTTAAGACCCACTACACAAGGTTGCAAAGCAAAGACTAAAAACTTGAGACAAAAAGGCAAATTATTACACATGCTTAATTAAATGTAAGGGCAAATTAGTCACATATTGAAATGACAATTCCACGTTTACCAAAGACCTTTTAATTTCAACTTGAGGAAATAAAGCCTTACACTCTGCCATTATTGTAAAAGCCCTCCTCATACATTACCTTACTACTTCTTCCTCA